ATTACTCCGCGTTATCGTAACCGTGACAACTAGCAACGATTGGATAAAGTGCAGTGTAAAAGTAAGCAAGCGTATGGACAGAAATGTAGAACATGAGCGGAAAAAGGTCCAAGCACTCAGTGGAGTTATCGACAAGGAAAAGTAAGCGACTGATTGTAAGATGATCGCTCGATTCGCGGTTGCAGCATAGAGGGAATAGTGGTTTGTCGCTTGGAACTCATACAGGAACAGCGCGATCCGATCAGCCTGATAGTGCCATTTGATGATCTATCGCCAGACTACTATGATGCTTCAATCAAGTAGTGCAGCGTAGAGAAATAAAGAGCGATACGGCAGATGGAAGGGCATCGAAAAATGAGAATGCAGAAGCATTGGCTGCACCAGAGCAAGAAATGAAGCTACCTATCACCAAAATTAGAGCAATTGGCTCTAGTAACTTTTTAGGCCAAAGTTCACGCGATTTACATAGTGTTTACCTAAACTAAAGGGATTACAGGACATGACTCGCGATGGGCGCCACAGGTCATTCTCTGACTGGATCACCCATAAAAGATGTGCAGGCCAATTAACTGGAAACTAAGGTTTTTATGAAGCAGGATAGTAAATGCCCCTGAAGTGTTTCTCTCGCCTGCACTTTAGCATCGTACAGTAGCCAAGGAGAGGGCATCAGTAATGCGCCGGCACACCATACTGATGCTTCGCTGACACGTCGCCACCAACAGTCGGGCGAGAGCTAGGTATACAGCGAGGTCGCACGCACCCATGCGGATCCGGACCGGTGACCTCTGGATTACAACATAGGCACGCAATCCCGTTAGCCGAGTGATTGTGAAAACACCGTGTAGGTGCTCATAGCCATAGCAGCTTGCGTATAAGTCATACAACAGGTGCTTTCATCCTATATTTCGTATTTCACCACTGGAGTAATCACAATTTATTTATGGCTGTGCAGAAAAACGTTTCGATACGAGGCAACGCTCTTGTTGTTGATGATAAAACCCAGTTCAGTAGAAACATGTGGCAATGTGGAGGTGAAACACGTGCAGCAATGTGCGTGTCCACAATCAGGATGTACAGCATTATTATTTCGCAATTATGCACCAGTCTGAAGACGAACAAGTGCGCCATCAGAACCAAGACGGCAATAGAGAAAATGCTCAACAAAGAGGAAAGATGGTAACCCAAAGAGGAACGGTTCTTTTTCATGTTTCACACACGCCGTTTTCAGTTTGCAAGCTTGATGTTCAAGATTGTACATTAGATAAAAAAAGAACGACAGCAGCATTAACGCCTCTGATTTCCATTGACAGGTATGACATTCGAGTTATAAACACTGGGATTCCGCGTCACGTAATCCGTGATTTGGAAGATGAAGGGATCCAAATGACACTAGACATGAGGCAACATCCCACGTCATCAGCTGTCTTCCGCGACACTTTTCATTCGCATCTAGATGCAAATAATGCGCGACGAGAAAGGTGATGGACTAGGGTGCGCAGTACCATCCAAGTCAAGCACAAATAGTGTTGGAGATTAATGCGCTGAATGCAGGAACTGTGCACTCTGAGTACTCGCAGTGCTTACACAGTGTTGCCACCACACACGAGTCCTCGTTCGAAAGCAGCGGCTGTCGAAGGCAGACAGCTGCGTCAGACCTTCCGAGAAACACAGGCCAGAACTCACAACTGTACAGCAGAAATACACGAACGGTGACATTGTACACTCTGCGCTTGAGCCTGAGGCTGACATGGCGACGACACCACAAGCATCTTATGCTAATAAACGCAGGATGAGCTTTGGCAATTAGTTGTGAAGCTTAATTTTCAGCACCACCAACAACTATGACGCAACCCAAAGTAGAAGTAAGACAGTTATCTGGTTTCACACCGTCATGTGTGACAGTGACCGCAAGCACAGGCATTTGCGAGTTTTGGAGCAAAGCTTCACAATTCGGGACGAGGAAATACAAACTATATTAGATGTCCCTGTCGCTATATGATTCAGAGTCATTTAAACAGCTTGTTGATCGTTCTTCAGTAAAGCGATGTTATTGGTATAATCAAAGTCCACAACTCTGTCCCCGGTGAGGATAACAATGTCGCATTTTCGGACTCCTTCCACTGCTCGGTGGAGAACGAGAACGGTGAGACAAGGCAACCTTGGGATACTCTGCAGTTAACGGCAGTCGAAGAAAAGAGCCTGCTATAAGCCCTAACATTGTTCTATGTATGACTCGAGGATGATAAGGTGGCATTGGCAAAACAACTTCAAAATAATAATGAAAGAGAGCGCAGCCTCGCATAATGGTAAAGCTAGAGGCATCAGCTTAAAACGGTAGTTCAAAGACGGTCCAGTTTGAAGGCTGATGCCGAAGAAACGTTTCTTGATGATTGAATAGAGATGCGATTTATAACAGATGGGGAGTTCATTCTGATGAACAGCAGCAGCTCAATACTTTCTGAAGTGCTGCCTGGTGAAAGGTTAGTTGACCTAGATTATGCGTACGATATCGTCTTGCTTTTTGACGACTTTGCGGCGGCACAATCAACTCTGAATAGCCTGTCCAGATTGGTCCCATTATTTGGTAGGCACTTCGCACCTTCAAAGTGCAGTGTTGCTGCAGGACCACCAGCCACTTGATGACCCATTGACGCTTGCTAACGAGGAACTCGAGGTGGTTGATCATTTCACTTATCTTGGCAGCTGCATCAGCAATGATGGGCGCATAGAAACTGACGTCAGCTCACGCATTGCAAAAGCCAGAGCTACCTTCTTGAACCTGCGGCATCTTTGGCGACAGAAGGGAGTTTCCCTTCATCTGAAAGGCCGCGTATACAAGGCCACAGTGAGGACCGTTCTGCTCTATGGTAGTGAAACTTGGCCCCTTCGGTCTGGAGATTTGAGACGCCTTCAAGTCTTTGATCATCGTTGTCTGCGAAGCATTGCTGGAGTCGGATAGCACCAGCGTGTCCGCAACGATGATGTGCGTAGGCGAGTACTAGGTAATGATAATCATGCTAACACCTTAGAACAACAGATAGCACTGAATAAATTGCGTTGGCTCGGGCACGTGCTACGTATGCTTGGTCACTGGTTACCTAGGAGGGCCTTGTTTAGTCTGCCAGGTGTAGGGTGGCGCAAGGCTCCCGGTGGACAGAAGTTGACTTGGCAGCGAGAAATGAAGTCACTGACGACCAAACTGGATGCCGTTGCTCCGTCTCGCCTTCCGGGTTGGAGTCCACGTGACTCACCTTGTGCTTGGCTAGAGACTTTACAGGACATGGTTCGCAACCGACACCAGTGGCTGCTGCCGTCTTTTAATCAGACTGCCTGTTTAAAGTATGTTTGGTGCTGAGTTATGTGGGGGGGGGGGGGTAATGGTTGATTATGACGCGGGTCAGTGAATGCCGCAAGGAAGCTGTCTCGCTGGTGCCGCCTTATCTTTGCACGATAGCCAGCTGTTTGTGACGGTATGTTGTCTAAACAAGGTGTAGGCGCCTTGACCCTTAATGTTTGCTTAAGGCATTAAGGTTTTCAGGTAAGTCCCCCTTCTCTCCCTCTTCTTATTCCCTATTTCATAGGTCCTCATGGTTGTATGGCAGAGAAGCATCAGTTCAAATGGCTGATGTAATGCTGCTGCTGCTGCTGATGCCATTACTTTGAGCTGGCGGGATGGAAGTAGGGGTGAATATGCAACTTGTCCTCCAGATAAACATTAAGGACAAAGGCGCTCGCCCCCTGGCATCAAACAGTCGACTATCATAGAGTGAGTCACTGCAGGTGAAACGATGGCCCCAATAACCCAGTAACGCAAACAATTTTACCCATTAATAAATCAACACCGCGTATCCTGAACAGACGCTCCACATAGAGACCACAGTAAGTGGAATGTTGGAAAGGTTAAGATAACTGACCAAGTTTCATGAACTTCATATATATATATATATATATATATATCAGAATTGGAGAGTGGAAAAAGTGACAAGAGAAACTGCTAAGAAGTGGGTACACATAACCAGACTAGTAATGCCGCATACATATTTGTTACTATATCAATTAAAATAATTGATCCGCAGTTAATGGATAGCAGGGTTTCGACGGTTCACTTCGTGCGGAGGGATAATGCGGTTGACTGAAGCGGAAAACACTAAAAGGTGGGCGTTGGATATGTTGTTGGGTGCAGCCCAAATCGAGGTATGGCCGAGACACAGTCATCTATCAGTTGTTTAACTGAAGCGAACTGAATACCTCTCTGTGCTAAGTCTACAGCAAAAGTTAAAATTCCGCCGTAGAGAATAGCCAAGGGGAACTTATCCGACATACCCAGTGTAGTTCGAGGGGCCCCAAAACCGTAGAAAGTGTAGAACGGATTTGCGTTATAATCCAATTATTATAGGCTACTCTAACTAGTTGTACAAAAGTCAGCACTGAGTTGGATACAAATATAGGTTCCGGAAATACTATTATCAGCACAACGATTTAAAGCCCAACCAATGTGTATGACTCAATAAGTGGACAGAGCTGTGATTCCTTGTGGGTAGAAACTCTGTTGCATAGTGGTCTGAAATGCCTTTACGACGATGGGTTGCGGGACTGATGACATATCTGTCATCATTTCTTCAAAACTGATCGCTGAGTAGTTACAACATATTCGCCAAACATGACAGACAAGGAAGTGAGAAGTTTGCGGGTGAGAAGCAGGCAAATGAAAACCTCAAGCGCAGCAAACCAATTGCTAAGCGTGTTACCGAGTGGCGAGAGTGGAGCTGGCACCAGCTCCGATTTCACCAACCATGGATTCCGGAGGATATCACGGAGAAATAATGCGCACCAACGTAAGATGAACAATAACAGTGATGGTAAGAGAATAGGGGTGCTAAAACGAGAGGTCTAAACGACAAAAGCGGGGTTGTGGATTTTGATTTAGTAGATTTGGTCACGAACATGATAGGAAATTAAAAAGGTCACTCATAAGAGGGTGGGATCCCCACACAACTCACGTTCAAGTTTGGCGGATTAATGTAGGGATATATAGCACATATTTCTTGCAAAAGAGCCGCGATAGAACCGCAAGAATGCCAAAGGAGAGGAGCGAGCTCTGGAACGCTCTCGCGTTTTTTACTAAAAAGCTGTTTTTAAAGGTTGCTTCGTTACCACAGTTCAAGTAAAGCACTTTCCCGAGTTTCGATGTTCGGAAGGGCAGAAATCCATTTGTAAACATTTTCCATTTCAGAAGATGGAATTGAAGTCGAACTCACTGAAGATGTCACAGGTGGAGGAAGCGGATTCATCGATAGAAAATTAACCAGCCCTAATAAAGAGGTAAGTGTCACCAAATTGCATTACGTGTCCCATAAGAGATTCCGGGTTCTTCTGCGTCAAATGCGTAAAGCGTTTTGTAACTGAAATACAAAAATAAGAACATAGTAGGTGGTCGGATACGGTCATCACAAGCAGTACATAGACACAGTCGGAAAAAGATCAGTTGGCCGACGTCGTGCAGGTGGCTGTACGCCGTTTTTGCAAGCACACAGAAGGAGCCAAATACCTATACGACAGGAACAAAGGGAGACTCACATAGTCGTTCTATCACAAATGCTTCGTGGATCCAAGACATAGTCTGTGATAGGATTGACCATCCTTGGAAAGTACCGCTTTGGGAAAGATTTAAACTGGGGATAAAGTAAGCAGCAGCTCCAGCTCTTTTGCTGTACTTTCTTAACAACCTTTACAGCGTTTAATGTACGGTGTATTCCATGGCAATGAGGCTGGACCTTACCGTGGTGCGATGGTTTGTGTGCCTCAGCGATCCGTTGAGCAATCCTGGGTGGGACAATTTTTGCAACTTCAGAGCCACTCATACTAGATTGGTCAATGGTTAGAGGCCAGACAAACTCAGCCTCCTGGTCCTCAAGGTTGGGGGTTGGAATGAGGTGGCTCCTTATTCCTTAAAACGGACTCCTTGTAGCCCAACGCCAAACCCGCTGCCTTGCGGACAGGTTTTTGAACCAAAGGTTAAGAACCCTAATCGTTCTCCTGTCTAGGCCTGGGCAACCTGACAGTATCCTGCCCACGCAATACTATAAATCATTCGTCAAAAAATTTCTTGATGCTCTGGCCACCGCAGAGGATAATCAACAGTGCCCTATCTGCTGCATCGAGCAGGGTGGATAGGGATTTGGACGTTAGTGCTCAAGCCTTCCCGTCTTCTCATTCCCCCTCTTACGCTTTTTCACTCTTATCGGCCCGTTCCAACTTCACTTTTATCCCCCCAGTTTTCAACACCCCGATTCTTGGCCCTCCCCCAACATGTTTTGCTAGGCATTTATCTTCTAATTTCAACTCACATGTTAACGCGGAGCGTCACTCCTCTACTGTCGACAAGCCCATGTCCAACTAAGCTGTCCATTCCAGTTCATCGGCTTCCATTTGGAGCCCTCGACCCTCCTTCAGATTGGCATGCCTCAATGTACGCACATTACTACAGATCGGTCAACAGGCAGCACTTGCACGAACAGTAGTGATCCTCTCGATCGATATTTGCTGCTTATTGGAGACTCGCCTGCAAGACTCGAGCGATTTGCTCACTTTGTGATCCCCTTCAGGTGACAACAGCAGCACATGCTCACTGCGCCTATCCGTTGATGATGCAGCTTCGAGCACCGGCCAAGCTGGTGTTGGCATTGCCCTGAGTCCCCAGGCTGAAGTTGCTCTGGTTGATTGGATTCCAATCAGTAGCCGGAAGTGTGCGATCCGTTTGGCTGGCTCGTTCAAAGCTCCGAAGTCACGCGGGAATAATAGGTGTCCATTCATCATCGCTGTCTACGCGCCCACAAACTGTAGCGATGATTCGGTAAAGAACGACTTCTACCGCCAACTGACCCAGCTCCTTCGCCACAGAAGAAGCATGGACACTGTTGTTCTGGCTGGTGATCTGAACGCACAAGTTGGAAAGTTGTCCACTGATGAAATGCATCTGGGCGATCAGCACGGTGTAGGCTCCCGTAATGATAACGGTGAGCGGTTACTTCATTTATGTGAAGATGCTCGCTTATTTCTTGCGAGCAGCACACGCCGGAGAGTGACTTGGCGCCCACCAGCCTTGGATGCAAATCGAGCACATTGCGATAAGCTACCGATGGAGAGGCTGCACCCAGAACTGTCGCTCGATTTGGAGCAAAGTTGTGGACACCAACCATGCACTTGTATGTGCTGACATGCGGATGCGTTTTGGCGGACGCCCAAGACGACGTTGTGAGCGCATTGACACCAGCTACTGGTGAAACCAGATGTTCTGAATGCCTATCAAAGTACGCTGTCATGCGAGTTGGATAAACGCTCACTGTATCCAAACTGCTTGCCTGTCATCGTTCACAGACTGACTGGCAGTTGTGAAAGCCATATTTGTAAACAGCAAGCCGGGTTTCGTGGAGGTCGTGGCTGCCTTGACCACATATTCACCTTGTGTCAGTAGTTGGAGCACCGTCGCATATATTGGCCGCCCACCATTGTCGTGTTCCTCGACATAAAAGGTGCATTCGATTCAGCGGATAGGCGTGCACTTTGGGACTGTCTACTCAGGTAAGGTGTACCTGAGAAATATGTAAACATATCCGATGATAATATGCGCGTAGCTCAGGCAGAGTGAGGGCTTACGGCAAGCTGTCGTCACCCCTTAATATCTCCAACGGTGTGAGACAAGGATGCTCGCTGGCATCTATCCTCTTCAACTTCGCTAGTGACGAAGTCATGGAAATCGCGTTCACAGGACACGATTTATAAGGTGTGGATCTGCTCCCAGGAGAACGAATTCTTGACTTGAAGTATGCTGACGATATTCCCTAATCTGTGACAGTTTCCAAACGTGCCAAGCGGCACTGGACAGATTAACACTGGCTGTCCGTCATTTCGGGCTTTGCTTTTCACCACTGAAATACAAAGCGTTCCTCCAAGATTGGTCTGGACTGCCTCTTTCGCTGACCCTTGGTAGTGATCAGCTAGAAGTCGTTCAAAAATGCAACTACCTGGGAAGTTGTATCAGCGCCCGTGGGATTGAAGACGAGATCACGAACTGTATAGCAAAAGCTTGAGACGCTTTTGCTAACCTTCGTCACCTATGGCACCGGCGCGACATCATTCTCGCCCTGAAGTGTAGAGTGTACAATGCCGCGATACGTTCGACCCTACTGTATGGTTGTGAATTCTGGCCCCTTAGATCAGCGGACATAAGGAGGCTAGTTACGTTCGACCACCGATGCCTTCGCAATTTAGCTCACATCTGGTGGGAACACCGCGCGAGCAACGAGCGTGTTCGACGCCTCATTTACGGCACAGGAAAAGAAAATGAACCGCTCAGCACCGTACTTTCACGCACCAGGTTCCGATGGCTCAGCCACGTGTTACGCATGCCAGCCCACCAGCTCTCGCGACGTGCGCTGTTTGCGCGCCGGGATTGTGGATGGAAGAAGAGGAGAGGTGGCCAAGCGATGACTTGGTCGAGAGGAATGAAGGCCCTCACTTCGAAGATGGCCTCAGTTGGAGCGTCTCGGATCACTGGTTGGGGTCCGAAAGGCGATGAACATGTTTGGCTGGATACACTTGCTGATATGGCTAGGAGGCGACATTAGTGGCGTTCGTGCTGTGAGTTTCTTTGTCCCACCTCATCCGTCTAAGCCTCCCACTCCAAGCACGATCTTATTAGTTAGCATTTTATAATTTTGCATAGTAAATTATTATTTTTCTGCTGCATGGTAGCCGGCAAGTAGCTTACCGGAACGATGCCCATCCGTTACAGGTAGCTCAGCTGGCTTGCACCTGTTGCATTTTATTCGCTTTTTCTTTTAGGTATTGCGGCACAGTAGCTGTGTTTCCCACCTCTAGCTAACATGTATATTGTGTGTGTATTCTAATCAGCAAAAAACCCCATACACAATTCTTCGAAGTTCGTTTCGCATTCTTGGTTCGGTCCGCTGCGTACGTTTTCGTGGTATTTTCTCAGTGCTGCTGACTGACATGTGAGTCAGGATTACTGCTAAACGCAAATTGTTTTGCACACTGAGGCATACGCTTAATTATGGACACCTCGAAGAATGAAAAGTAACTGGCCAGACCCACCGTTCCTTTCGTAACTAACTGAACTTTTCAGTAACTCATTGTGCCCTTTTCGCCGCAACCTCAGTAATACGTATCCATGTACGTGCAGATTTGGCTCCCAAAACCACCGAAGTAGAACGCAGATCATAGACGTGTTCAAGATGGGACGACCATGGGAATTTCCTTCTGTTCCTGTCCCAATTGAATTTGAATGTAAGGATACTTCAGTCCATGACCTCGGGTAACGGCCATGTTTCGGTGAAAGGGAGGAAAAAGGATGAAGGTGGTCCACAATAGCGCCAACTCCGCACATGTAGTTAAACAAGTTACGTGTTACTGAGTAATACTCGAAGGATACTGGCACGGCGACCATTATTATTATAAACCTTAGCTAGAAGGGGAAACAACCAAACTACTGTGCCGCAACACATGAGAAAAGAAAAAACAAAAGGTGCACGCCAGCTGAGCTACCAGTAAATGATGGGCATCGTTCCAGAGAGTCGACAGCCGGCTACCATGCAGTAAAAAAGGAGTTTATTGTGAAAATCTTATATTATGCTAATAAATGTGGTCGTGGTTGGAGAGGAGGCTAAAATGTATGGGGCGGGACAAAGAAGCTCGCAACACAAACGCCAGCGAATTCGGCTCCTAGTCATGTCAGTGAGTGTATCCAGTTAAACGTCTTCTTCGTCTTTCGGATCCAAAGCAGAGAAGCAAGAGTGTAAAACCAAGGTCAAGTTTCAAGAAAGGGCCTTCATGCCTCTTGACCAAGTCATCGCTTGGCCACCTCTCTTCTTCTTCCATCCACACCCCCGGCGCGCAAACAACGCACGCCGCGGGAGTCGGTGAGCTGGCATGCGCAACACGTGGCCCAGCCATCGGAGCCTGATGCATGAAATAACGATGCTAAGCGGTTCCTTTCCTCTTCCTGTGAAATGTACAAGGCGTCGAACACATTCATTGCCTATGTGGTTCCCACCAGATATGAGCCAAACTGCGAAGGCACCGGTGGTTGAACGTAACTAGCCTCCTTATGTCTGCTGATCTAAGGGGCCAAGTTTCACAACCGTACCGCAGGGTCGAACGTACGGCTGCATTATACACTTTAATCTTCAGGGAGATTGATGTCGCGCCGACGCCATAGGTGACGAAGGTTAGCAAAAGCGCCACGTGCTTTTGTTATACGGTTCGTGATCTCGCCTTCGATCCCATGGGCGCTAATAGAACTTCCTAAATAGTTGAATTTTAGAACGACTTTCAGCTGACCTCCAAGGGTCGGCGCAGGAGGTGATCCCAGCCAATCTTGGAGGAAAGCAATGCACTTCGAGGATG